TGGAGAAAGAACAGCAAAATACTCCTCCTTGGAGGCAAATATGAAGAAGCTTCATCGCTCATACTTTGAACATGTTGCTAGGAAAGGCTATTCCTTGGAAAGGAACATCATGCTTGGAAAAGTGGAGGATAAGGGAAAGAGAAGAAGATCTTCAGCAAGCAGCAATGGGCTCCAGTGTATCAGAGATGATGATGATGGCTTAAGATAGGACAAGATTCAGGTCTATTGTTTATTCATATGTTTTCTATAAATTTTACTCAACTCAATGATGCTTACCAACAGCATGAAAATTCACTCCTTGATATCTACTCAAGAAAAATAAAAACATCTCTCTACCCCAAATTTGCACAAAAATGATCATGTGACCATTATTTAAATGCCAAAACAGAAAGAAACAGCACAAATGTTTAGCAATTCAGCGGTGGATTAATAAAATGTGGCACACACATATGCTGAAATATTAGTCAACAATATACGGGAATGTAATATTGATATTTGCCATAAGAAGAACTTTAAAAGTATCAGTGATCCAACACTACATGTTGTATTATCCCATTTATCTGAAACTTCCAGAACAAGCAGATCAAAATAAAGAAAGTAGATTTCCCTGGGTTAAGTAAATGATTGACACACTCACTGCTGACAATGGATTTAAATGCATGCAGTGAGACCTCAGGTGGCCAGTGGTAAGGAGTTACTCTGGTAGCTGATAGGTACGCATTTAGTGTACACCAGCGTTGTGCAGGAGAATGATGGTTAATCTCTGCCTGTGTGACTAACTGCCTCTGAAAATGTGCTAGAAGGTCAGCTATGAGTCAGTTCTGACTCAATCGAACAAAACAACAATAGAGGTGCCCTGCATAAAAGGTCACATAACTACTAAAAAGCCAGATATTGAGAATAGTTCAATCCTGAAACACATAGAGAGCCCATGAATTAGGACTGACTCACTAGCAAGTGGTTATGAACTGATGGCCAATATGACTTTCCTGCCCTTACCTTACCTTCCTACCAAAGTTTCTTTGAAACTTTTGATTGTAGTTGTCCAATCATTGCTCCATATGGCCTGATAGATCGCTTCTTTTCAATTGATTGTCAGTTAAGCTATCATTCCTAGTAAAGAATCTTATCCCACCTCTAATCCTTTCTTTTCTTAAATCTGAATACCTGATCTGAATGGGAGATTGATATGTAATGTGGTTGAGAGACATGTAGGTGTGTGTAGGCATGCTAAGTCTTACATCAACCACAGTGAAATCAATTCGTATTGAGGTTGTGGCAATAGGGATTCAAGAAAGAGATCAATATGAAAATATTTGAATGGTAAAATAAAGTGAACTTGGTCATGCGTTAGTGATGGTGGGTGAAAAAAGGGAGTAACAAATTGAATAGTTGTCCTATTTGATATGTAAACTGTTAGAAAATTACTAGATATGTGGGAAATGGCTACAAATCACACTAATTGGATAGGATACATTTAAAGTCATTTGAAGACTCTAATGTCTGAATTCAGTGGAGAGAACAATTCATTTAGGAATTATTAGTATATAAATGATTGAAGTTTCAGATGAAATGAGATATCCTGGGGAGAAATTATCGAATGAAAACAGAAGAAAGGCTACATAAGTAGAAGAGGCAGTTCCACGAAGTAATTATGTCTAATATCATTCTATGACATGTAGATTAAGTTCAAATTGAATTAAATATAAATACATAAATCAGAAAAGAGTATAGTGAAGGTAAGACAGTGAGCTCTTATATCAAGATTATGTTTTGTCATTTAATTGGCATTGACCTTGAATTAATTATTTAACTAACCTGAACTTCATTTTTTCCCATGGGAAAAATGAGAATAAAACTAAATTGAAAGAATATTACAGAAAATTATGCTGGTTTTTTTAATGTGAAACACTCGATACAGAATAGAAATTTTAAAATGTAGCTTCTCTGTATTATCAATTCTGTGCTTAGAATTACTGGGAAAAAGTAAGTACTTGTTTACATTTTGAATGTTCACTTAAAAGAATAGAAGTGCCAAAACTTATTCAAAACAAAGTTTATTGATAATTAAGACACTATGCTGAATACATTGCTTCTAGTACTATAGATTAAAAAAATAAATTAAAATTTCATTGGAGAGTGAATTTTTTCCATTCTATGTCTATAATGTCAGAGATAAAAAGAATAAAAACACAACTCATGACTTTGTTACTGCAATATAAAGCAAGTATAATGTTACCCTGACTTTTTTCAGTGGTTATCAACATCATTTTTGTGTCATATTATTTCTAAAAGTAAAGAAAAATAGCTGTACTTGGCCACAATTCTAAAATATTTCATAACTGCAACTCATATTATTTACACAATCATCTCTCTTTTTTCTTAAGAATAAACAATTAAGATATTGCCTGAGGAAGGACACATGAGACACCAAATACAAAGAGAACATTGTCTTTATGACTCCTTTTTAATATCTTTCTTTTTCTCCACATTAAAGCTATACACTCATTATGAGTGTGTCTTCTATTTTATTGCAATGTTTTAATCTCAAAGGACTTCTTTTGTTTTATACAGTCCTCTATATCAGTTGCTCTGTAATAAAGGGTGCTGGTTAAACCCAGGAATATTGAAAATAATAATATTTAAGGCATTTGGTCACTTTATTTTCTATTAAATATTTATGCTTTATCTACTGAGTTCTATCTAATGTATAAAATTAAATTTCACAAAATTTTCCCACAGAGAAGACTGTGATGTGGAAGTGTAAAGAGAAAATAAGACTACAAACAGACTAAAGAGGATGTAGTCTTAGTCATCATCAACAACAAAAAAGTATATTTTAAATGGAGCAAGTGGTATATTATGATCAGATTAGTGTTCCAGGAAAGAGAGAATATATGGACAAAATTTCAGATAGCCTACAAAGATAAAAAGCACTGATCAAACTAACGAACAACAAGCTTCATCACTTCTTTTGTGAACATCTTGAGAAAAAGCCACAAAAACGTTGTTAGGCTCTTCAGAAAGAATCATTTAGCATGCAAGTAATAAGTTTGCCCATGGTTTGCTTAATTCAGATTGTGTTTGCTTCTTAGTGCCACATTTAAACATTTCCAGTTTGATTGCATTACTTGCTATTCCCTGCTACCTAAGACAAATTCCTGAATATGTGAGATTATTCTTATTCTTTTTTCCCAACAGGAAGGACACATTTATTCTGTCCTAAATTTCTTCTTGTCAGAAAATAAGCAGTCACAGAATGAGTAGTGTTTGGGAAATTTCAGAGGTGCCAAAATTCCAATTTTATATACTTCAATAGACACAAAAGTTAACAAACATTTGTTTTCTCAGTTAATCCTTTTTCTGCTAATAATTAATTATAAAAATCAAGACCATTAATTTTATCTCCCCATTTTGCCTTCATTCAGAAGAGAACATTAAGAGAAAAGATATAATCAGACTAATTTTACCTGACGTAAATAGAACACATATATTATGGGATTTTTCCCCCTACTAGTTTATATTTTTTTACTTTTGTTTTAAATATTTTACTGTTAATTTTTTTCTTAAATATTTCACACTATGTTGTTAGATGTTGTTGAGTCGTAGACGACTCATAGCGAACCTATGAACGAAAAGAAAGGCCTGAGCACTTTTCATAGAGTTTCTGGAGGCAAGCCATTTCAGAAGTGGGTGTCACTCCTGCTTCCAAGCTTGTTTTTATCGGGAAGCTCCACCAAACACTGTCCACCATGGGTAACCATTATCACATTTGGCATATCAGTGTCACAGTGTTTAGCATCACAAATTCAAAACAATTTGAATGGGGTGAGGGCCCTTCAGGGTTGTAAGCCACTGCCTTTGAGCAGCCTTAAACCTTACTTAGGCCAAGCCTCAAGGACCTCGCTCTTAGGGGGAAAGAGCAGTACTGCACATCAAACACAAACCCAAAAAGCCACAACCCCAAAAATTTCCAATTACTTGCCCATCTGGACCCCCATGCACAGGGAGTGAGAAGCCACAGACAACCAGAACGGAGTCATCCAGAAATGTGGCCACATCTAGACTTTTATTCTCTTTTCCCTGTCTTCCAAATTTTAATTGTGTTTAAAGTGTTTAACTATGTAATTTAAGCCCTCACATTTTTTTTTGGTTGTGGTTCACACTATTTTGTTAATATGCATAGCTAAAGACAAATAGATCTTTCATTCATAATTTTTCTCTTCAGTGGTATCAAAAAATGAAAAAGTCAATTTGACTCACAAGATTGAAGCTGACCTTCACTTCATTGTCTTCAATTCTCTGCTCCATCTCACCACAGGGGACTCTTCCAGTGTCATCAAGGCTGGCTGAACCCAGCTGGCTGTTCTGAGCTTCCAGTGACTTGAACACTGGGGACAATCTGGCTCATTTACTAGCATCTGACTTTCTGGCCTAAAGAACAAAATCCCATGAACACCATTAACAAAGTCTCATTTTTTCCAGTGTGTCAAGTTTTGTGACAACCTTCTCCGAAAAGACATATTGTTGTTCCCTGAGCCCGCTCATTATTATATTGCCAGTATTTCTTTTTTGTAGAGAATATTAATTGACTTTAATTGAAAGTGCTAAGATTTTAAAAAATAAATGTTTCACACAGGGTTGGAGGTAGGGCCAGATCAGGAAATCACTCACAATGTTGCATTTCTAAGCCAATTTTATAAACTACTATGCAATAAAAGGGCAGATTTCAAGCATGTTGTTCAAGGGGTCACTTTGAATCATAGTTCTAGACACACAAACAACAATAATCTTTCTGCTAAAAAGAAGAAAGAGAAGGTGAAGGAGGAGTTAATCTGATACAAGGAAGAAGAGAAAAAGATGAAGGAGAAAGAGAGGAAAAGGTAGGAAGAGGTGAGGGAAGAGAAGAAAGAAAAATGAGAAAGGAGAAAGCATAAGACAATTGGGGGGGGGGAGAAAGAAGAGAGGTCTATCTATCCATTGGTTAAATTTTTAAACTCTGTTACGTTGCCCTGGACTTCGAGCAGGAGATGGCCACAGGGGCTTCCTCTTCCTCCTTGGAGAAGAGCTACGAGCTGCCCGATGGGCAGGTCATCACCATCGGCAATGAGCGTTTCCGCTGCCCCGAGGCACTCTTCCAGCCCTCCTTCCTCGGCATGGAGTCTTGTGGCATCCATGAAACTACCTTCAACTCCATCATGAAGTATGATGTTGACATCCGCAAGGACCTCTACGCCAGCACAGTGCTGTCTGGCGGTACCACCATGTACCCAGGCATCGCCGACAGGATGCAGAAGGAAGATCACAGCGCTGGCCCCCAGCACGATGAAGATCAAGATCATCGCTCCCCCTGAGCGCAAATACTCCGTGTGGATCGGCGGCTCCATCCTGGCCTCCCTGTCCACCTTCCAGCAGATGTGGATCAGCAAGCAGGAGTACGACGAGTCTGGCCCCTCCATCGTCCACCGCAAATGCTTCTAGGCGGACTGTTTAGTTGCGTTACACCCTTTCTTGATAAACCTAACTTGCGCAGAAAAAAAAAACAAAGGATGAGAATTGGCATGGCAAAAAAAAAAAATTGACTTTAGGTTGACAGGAGGTTTTATGTTAGCATTAAGTCTATAACTCAAATTAAAAAAGATATTATAAAAATTTTCTCTGTGACTCAAACAGGATTAAAGAATTGCATGATTTTCAAATTGTACTACACAAGTGATATTTAACTTTGCTCATAAAATGGTGTGCAACAGGGGAACATGTATTGAAATAGAAGAGGCATCATGGTTATATCCAAAAGCATACTCGCAGTAATTGTCATGAAAGATCCAAGGTGAACACGGCAAGACAGCAAGAACACTAGAGATCAGCACTGAGTCAGCAGCAAATACACACAGACCTAATTATGGCAAGGTCAAGAGAAAAGTCAAAACAAACTGCCAGGCACCAAGCAGGGGATAAAATGTCCTGTGAGCAGAATGGCAGAAGTATAGTCATGAATAACTAACTGAACTAGCAATCAGAAATTTAAATGAAGTGGTACAAAGT